CTGAACAAAATTTGTCGATAAAAAAGCGGATTTTCTGCCAACTTTTCACACATTCAACACATTTCGAACCGAACACTGATTTTGGTAATAAAATTCAATGATTTGCAAGCGTTGCTCGTTAGTAAGTCTATTCATGATGAAATGTCAAAGCATACTGAGCATCTTTCTCTTTGACACCATGTCTGAAATCCCACGTGATCTGTCAAATACTAATGCATGAAAATCCTAACCTCAAAAAAATCACCCATTACTATGTAGGCATGCCGACCCCCCCCCCGCCAGGCCGTTGAACTGGTGGATTTTATAACTAAATTTGCTTGTATGCTCCTGTACTCGTTTGTGTGCTGCTACTTTATGGCAGGCAGTGAACGTTTTCGGGTATTATATGCCGAGAGAAGGCGATTCGGACTCTTTGTTTAAGGAAGTTATACGGGTATGTATGTTCATTCAATCAGCTTCTTACGTACTCAAGCATGCATACTTGTACATATGTATGTCAATATGTTATTTGAATTTCTTTGCAATCGATTTGTGTATAGATTTATTACAGCTAGAGATGGTCGAAAGCTGTTGCTGATTGAATGCATTTTAGTACAACTTCAACGTGATTTTGGTTAACTCAATATCTGACTAGTTAAAGAAGAGGTGTTAAAACGTACATACATACATTAAATAAACATATGTTTTAACAATTTTGTTTAGTGCTACACAGCAATAGTCAGACCAATGCTACTCTATGGTGCATTGCTGTGGTTGAATGCTGCAAAAAAGGTCTCATATTTTGCTAATAGCTAATAGAGAAAGTCCATTTAGAAGTACTTATAATCTGTATGTTGGCATGTCCAAGTTATTTTGGCAGTTAAATTTTAAAGCATGACACATTTTAACAAGTAAGAAAGTCTAAGTTCGGGCGGAGCCGAACATTAAATACCCGGCGCAAGTATTAAATATATGTTTTCCACCTTTCCAAAAGCTACCGCTACATGATAAGCCGGGGTGTATACATTTTAAGTAAATAAGCGTCCTTAAATTTCGAAATATTGACGTTTCGAGCATTTCTAAAATTTACCGTTATATGAAAAGCCGTAATTTTAGTCCGATTTCAATAATTTTTAACGTTTTGCTTTTATGTGGCAAGCACAATAACCATACCGAGCTTGGTACAAATTGGTAGAACGGTTAGCGAGATACATATATGTGATCACAAGTGGGCGGCGCTACGCCCATTTTCCAAAATTTTGTCATAAGCGTATTTCTTGGCAAAGAATTGTTGCAACCATCAATTTTGAATAAATTAGCTTCAATATTTACTGATTTATCGAAGATTTTGTATTTCTCGAAATTACCGTTATATGGGATGTGGGCGTGGCTATTGTCCGATTTTAGAAATTTTCGGTCATTTGATATGCAGTGCTAAGGCCAACAACTGTGCCAAGTTTGGAAGAAATTGGTGCAGCGGTTACCAAGATATACACATGTAACCATAAGTGGGCGTGGCTACGCCCATTTTCCAAAAATTTATAATATTCATGTTTTCCGTCTGAAACTCATTGTAAATATCAATTTTGAGTGAATTATCTTCAGTAGTTACTAAAATATCGCTGTTTTCGTATTTCTGAAAATTACCGTTATATGGGAGGTAGGCGTGGTTATTGTCCGATTTCGCCCATTTTCAATACCATCCGTCCTACGCCCAAAAGAAGTTCACTTACCAAGTTTCATTAAGATATCTCAATTTTTACTCGAGTTATCGTGTGCACAGACGGACAGACGGACGGACGGACGGACGGACAGACAGTCACCGCTTAATCGATTTCTCTTTTCATTCTGATCATTTATGTATACATTTGTCTATATCTATCTCGATTCGTTTTGCCTGTCACAAACAACCGTTATGTGAACAAAGTTATAATACCCTTGTGCACAAGTGCGCTCGGGTATAAAAATTTATTTCTAATTTGCATATAAATAAATTTTGATTGTTCGAAAAGCTTCTCTTCAAATTGAAAAAAAGCCCTTAAATGCTCAGCCTCGGAAATCTGAGAATTTTTTTCTATACACAACCCAATTAGCTTATTTGAACCATTAAACTATTTCATAAAGCCGATATTCAACTCACCGATTCCTGAACCAGCTTCCAGCCGCAATGATCCCCATTCCCAGGAGACTCGATGTGGTCGTGGATCTGCGCAGACCACCAATGACATACTGGCTGGTTCGCCACGTTTCACTGAGATGGTGTGCATTGATGGATGTGGGCGTAATACTTGTGGAGCACCTGCAATTAAAATAAAAAAATAAAAATTTGATAATTAACAAATTATTTAGTTTCAATTAAGTAAATATATTAATGCAAGTATGCATAGGCTATACACAAACTATATGGAAACAATTTATTTATTTTTTCGGGGAGAGCCTCTAGAAAGGCGAGGTCATACTAAAAACTACCACGTATAAGATTTTAAGCCGATTGTAATAGCTTCGGAAGTTGCAACTCGAGTACTTTTGCCACAAGTGCAGACGACGGAATTGCCTAATAAGAATTTCGTTTGAGATTTTGTAAACTGTTTTTCTATAAAAAAGCATATGTAAGAGGGTTACCACCTCTTTGAAAAGTCGAGTTTAATTAAATTATACCCAAGTTATATGACATATTGAAACATAGGTGTCAAACGGAAGAGTTTTAGGCCATTTTTCGTTTCTATATTTACAATAGTTTTAAGGTGTGTGAATAGGGTTGCCACAGGCTAAAAAGGTGAAATTCAAATTATTCAATAAATTAAATTATTTATCAAGAGATGGATATCAATCGAAATGTGGTTGGAAAGGCCTTATTACTGAACTATATATAGGAGGGTTGCCACATATTTAAAAAATCAAATTTAACTTAACCCATCATTTAATTGAAATATGTATCACAATGTCAAACGAAATAGAAATAAAAAGGTTTTAGTTAGAAAATAGTTTTAAAAAGGGTTGCCACCTGTTTTAAAAGTTTAATTTAGTTAATTTATACGCAAGTTATATGAAATAATAAAATATGATTGTACAAACAAAAGAGTGTTAAGAAATTTTGGTTTGAGCATTTAGATTTTTTTGTGAGGTGTTTGAAGAGGGTTTCTGTATGTGGGAGAAGTTGAATTTAATTTATGTAATAAGCGAAACTAATAATTAAAAGATGGGTATAAATAGAAATGAGTTTCAAAAGGTTGTTTCTGAACTGTATTAAGGAGAGTTGCCACGTGTTTATAAAACCAAATTCAACTTAATTCGCCAGGTAATTTAAATATGTGCCACAAAGTCAGACGAAAGAGATTTAAAAAAATTTTGCTTTGAAAATACTTTTAAAGGGGGTTGCCACCTGTTTGCAAAGTTAGAGTTATTTAAATTATGAACAAGTTAAATGAAATATTAAGATATGCTCGTCAAACGAAAGAGTTTTAAAACAAATTAGATAAGCATGAAAATACATTTGATTAGGGTTGCCAACTATTCGAAAATTAATATCCATCTAACAATGTAAATATACATATGTAATATGCGAAAGCAATTCTTTTTGAACCGATATTTCGATGCCAAATTAAAGAACTGGACATGTAGATAGATGTTCAATAAGGTGTTATTTTTTGAAGAGAGGACTTTATTTGCGGTATAGGTTGATTTGAAATTCGATGAAATGAAAAACGGCGCGAATCCTATCTTCATTCAGAAACGGCAGCATGGATTTAGATGAAACATTTATAATAATTTGTTTGGTTTTATAATAGGGTTGCCACCTGTTTAAACAGCTAAATTCAATTTTGGCGTTTTAAGATCAGGCACTTTCACTAGTTCCTGCATACAAGCTAAATAATCTCGAAATATCGAATGCAACAACTAAAACAAAAAACATCAACATTAAACTAGCTGCTGTGGCTAAATAAATAAAACATTAAGCCTATTGCAATTTATGTTGCAACATGGTTACCAACGTACAACTTTAACACGAGCTTATAATTCCAACTTCAAATATTTGTTTTAAAGTACAGTTGTACATGTACATACATAGGTGTGTATGTATGTATGTAGGTTTGTACTTGTTCACTTAACGACTAATGCAAAAGAAAATGAAGCGAAGAAAAATTCACTGTTGCAGCAACACACACATTAACGTTATGGTAGTAGTATATGTGAATACACATACATACACATATAAGTGTGCAAATACTCAACAAAGAATTGCATTCAAAATATTCCATTTGCAGCCGGTATTGCCATTGCTTGCGGGCATTCTAATAAATGTTGCATGCAACACAGCGGTGACACAATGCAAGTCAAGTTATTAAAAAATCATGAGCAACAACAAATGCAAAAAAAAAACAAAACCAAATCCTGGAAATCCTGTAAAGCCTAACTGTGAAACAAGCCAACTACAACATGCTTGCAACAAATCTGTGCTTACACATGTATGTAGATACACATACATACATGTATGTATGTATAAGCAACATACCTAGTATGTACATGTGTTGCTGAATGCGAGTGGCAGCCACAAAAACTTGTCAGTGACCGCAAAAAGGAGTAAGGAAAAACACTCTCGCATGCAGATGCCAATGCGCAGCAAGCAAAACGGAAAATAAAACGAATTAAAAGTGCAAAAGATATTTAAGTTTACTGCCTCAACGTGTATGCCGCTCTGCACGCACATAATTTATGAGCTGGTGTTGCAACAACAGCAACAACAGCAACAACAAGTAACTACTACAAAAACCACAAACAACAAATATGATGCCAGCAAGAAGTGGCGCGCACTGCTGGTGTTGCTGCTGCCACTATGGATGGCTACAATAACAACTCTAACAACAATTACAACAAATAAAGCTTTGATAAACTTTTTTCATTTAAAATTTTTTTCAGCTTCACTCTCTCGATTTGTTGTTTGTTTTTTACCATCTATGCATTTGCACATTTGAACTTGCAACCAGATAAATTTTCTGCTCAGTTTGCTTGACTGCGGAGTTGAGTTTGTTAGTTGTTGCGGTTTAACTGATGTTTCAACTGTTTTTGTTGTTGAATGTTGGTATTGTTGTTTTTTTTTTTTTGTTAGTTTTCTCTTTCCCTAGCTGGCGTTCTTGTGATTGTTTGTTTGCTTTTACTGTTGTTATTGTTACTTGCAACTGACCGCAGTTTAGTATCTAATATACAAATGTGCTTGTACAACATGTGTGGCAGGCAGCAGGAGCACCAGCTGGTGTGGTATTGTCTAACTGTATGTCACATGCCGCTAGTATACTCAAACATATGTAAATATGTAGCCATTTATCAGAAGGACTAAAACATTTACTTTATACTCATATACGCAGTATAGTCACAAGCATGCAAGCACCAAAATATACTTATACACCAAATGCAGAAGTGCCTTAAAGGTTTTGTCCAACTTACACACCATTGGGTTTGAGATTCTATCTGCATTGGTTGTTTTCATAATCTCTAACTTTTCGAATAAATACTCAAACTTACTTTCAACACGTTTTTGTTTTTTTTTTCGCAATCGCTCGTACGAAAGATTTGAATTAGACTTGAAATACCAGTTGGCTGCTTTGGATTTTGAGTGCATTCACTTTGTTGTAGCAGCCTGCCATTTGTGTAAGCTAGGTATTTACTTAGCGTAAACTATTTTAAGTTTACTAGTAGGAGATCCGACAAAAGGCACAACCTTCTGTTTAATGAATGAAATTTGCTTTGTATGAAATTTAACGTGTTAAGTATTATTTCGCGAGTGGGTTGGCTGAAAAAATCCTGGCCAGGATATGTTTAGTTTCTTATTGAAAAATTATTATTATTATTATTTTTTTTTAATTTGCACTCATTTGTTTAATGAACAAATTACATATGTATATACCATCAGTTCTGCACCGTCACTGTCAAAAGAAAATACTTAGTTTCGACATGTGCACTCATGTATTGTTTTTCTTAGTAGGGTTGCCACCTATTAAAAAGTTAAAATATTTTCGCCGTTCATTGGATTACAAAATGAGATACCAAATGAAAGGGCCTGCCCTTCGCATGTACAAAAGCTTCTTATTTTTTGAATAGGGTTGCCACTAAGTATTTTCTAAACATGACTTTAGTAGTTTAGTTAACTTTAGTACCTTAAATTCCTATAGGGTTGCCACCTGTCTAAAAAATTAATAGATCCGCACTGTTCGTTGGATTACAAGAAATGAGTTGTCAAATAAAAGGGCTCGGCTTTTAGATCTCCAATAGTACATTACATTTTGAGAAGGGTTGCCACTTTTTACAAATTATAAGATCTTCACCGTTTGTTGGACTAAAAACTGAGGTACCAAGTCAAAGGATAAGGTCTCTGCATGTGCAACAGGCTTTTATTTTTTGTTTGCGTGGGGTTGCCAGCTATTCAAAAATTATCTTAATATAATACGCGAGGGCATTTTTTGTTAATGACATTAGATTTGCACAGTACACTCAATTTAAAAAAATTGAATTGAAGAATTGAATAAAGGACTACCAGTAGCAGAGGGTATATATCTATTTACACTGATGGTTCAAAGATGGATCAAGGATTCAGAGACGGTCTCTACTCGGTGGAACTGCAGGTCAAATAGTCCTTTTATCTGCTGAACCATTTTAGTGTCCTCCAAGTAGATGTCTACTCTTTAGAAAGAGCCGCTAGTCATTTAATAAGCGGCAAGGTTCCAGCCGATAAAGCTACTACCTTTGTCGATAGTCTAGTAGACTCGAAGGCAATAGGATCTAAATTAGTGTAATTGGGCGTTGTACGGAAATGTCGTGGCACGTTGGCATCACTGAATCATATCAAAGCCACTCTATGCTGGTCACGGCACATAGAAATATTGAAAAAAATGAGTCGGCTGATGAGATACTCAGATATAGCTCTGAGATGCCAATAAACGAGGCGGATTACTCCTTACTACCACCACTCAGTTATCATGTTAGTAAAATGTATGAATATATTGTGGCAGCTGCATTTACTCACCCACAACTTGCAAGGAGATTGGCTCGGATACTGCAACCCGTTCTTGTCCGTTTATATAATTAGTTGCACGGCATTCATATTCGCCCTGATAGTCATAGGTCACATTATCGATGACGAGACGTGGCTCACTGCCACGTTCCACAAATTTGGAACCGTGGGCGATTCTGGAAAGGAAAAAATATAAATATAAAAGTAAGAATAGATTTTGTAGGCTCAAGTCAAATAGATGTATGCATGTTAGGATGGTCCTTAAAAATATCAACCTGTACATTTGGTTTGGACATCCCTTCATTGTGTTCTAAGCGCATACAATAATGATTTTAAAAAAATGTTAATAAAAAAATCTCAAAAATTCGAAAAATGATAAATTTAACATATTGAAATATATTCATAAATGCACGAATTTTTGCCTTTAAAAAAATATGTATGTACTTATATATTTTTACAAATCCTGGTAACGACTCCTAAAATTTCTTTTTAAGTTTTGTCATATTTTGTCTATATTTAGTACGTAGAATAAAACAAAGGGTTGATGTTGATATGTTCAAGGACCATCCTAATGTACATAATATAGCTACTTTCATATTTATACCTTTAGTTTGAGTAAAGTATGTAGTTAAAAGTAATTTCAAAGGCGCTCCATATTAAAAAAACACCTACTCGCATGCGCTCCAAATTTTTCCCACTCGTACATTCAAAAAGAGCGCTACACTAACAACGGTATATATGTATATATATATGTCTTTTTTTACAAAATATTTAATTCTTAATATCTGGCGACGTTTGCATACCGTATTTTTTTATTGCATGTCACATAACTGATTCTGCCTGTTTCGGCGAGTTGCCGACAAGTGTGCATGCAACAAGCGATGGCTTCGCCTATGTGCACACCGATTGACAGCAAGCCATGTTGCAAGTATTAAAAATTCTTGATTGCATGGCAGCTGAAATGCAATATAAACATTTTTTATTGAAGGCAATATCTTCAGCATTTTAAGTGCACACAGCAAATGGTATTCAAGAAAATAAAAGCGAAATGATTCACATTTTGTGAATGATTTACACATACATACATAATAATAATAATAGATTGGCGCTTACACATATGTTAGTGTATGGCCGAGCTTCTCCTCCGACTTGTGGCGTGCGCCTTGATGTTGTCACACAACGCGTAGGATCCTACAGTTTTACGCCGACTCCGAACGGCGATTGAATTTTTATGAGAAGCTGTTTTTCATGGCAGAAATACACTCAGAGGTTTGCCATTGCCTGCCGAGGGACGACCGCTGTTAAGAAAAAACCTTTTTCTATATTTTTTGCGATGTTGCTTTGACCAGGGCTTGAACCCACATACATACATATGTTAAAAGTTTTATGTTCATATTACTTATTTTATTATATTAAAGTATTGACATCGGTTAAAAGACTATTTTTTAATTATTTAATTTTGAGTTATTTTAATTTTTCTTTATTTTTAAACAAATTTTGTTCTTTTGAAGTATGAAGTTATACATTTTGTTTGTTTTTAAAAAGACAAATATTTTTTAAATTAATTTAGTTCTTATAAAGGTATTCTAGCTTTTTATTTTTGTTCCTATTTAATTTAATTTTAATTTTTAAATATCACCGTTTAAGAAAAAATAAATTTCATTTAATTGTTAGAAACTACTGTAATATACTTTTTCTTTTCTTAATTAAATTTTCAATTTCAATTTAATTTTTAGATTTTGTTAAAAAAAAAAAATTGAAAGTTTTTTTAAACCTTCTCTCTCTCTCTTAATTAAATTTTTTTCTTTGTTTAATTTAGTGGTATCATTCTAGATTTTGTTTTTTTTTAAAGAAAAATATTTTTTGTTTAATTATTACATTTTTTGGACCTTATTTTAACTTTTTATTTTTTTAATTTGTTTTTGTTTCTTTTCAATTTTATTTTAATTTTTGGATTTCATTGCTTTAGAAAGAAAAAATATATATTTCTTTGATTTCATTTAATTCTAGAAACTTATTTTATGTATTTTTATTATTATTACTTTTTTTATTTAATTCCTTTTGAAGTTCTCAATTTTTTTGTTTTAAAAAGAAACATTTTTTTCTATATTAGTGAAGTTCTTTTAAATTTAATTTTTGGATTTTTGTTTTCTGAAGATTTTTATTTTGTAATTTCATTTATTTTTAGAAACTTATGTTAAAATTTTTTGAAATTTTATTTGCGTTTTGTTGTAATTTAATTTCCCTTTAATTTTTAAGCTTTATTTTTTTTAAATAACTTTTAAATTTTTAGAAAACTTATTGCTGAAAGGAAAATAGATCATCGCCAAGATCAACTCCTCGTTAGCAAATCTTTCAATTAGTCTTTCGAAAGATAGAAAGGGTCTTTTAAGATTTTTGCCACAATTCTTACGAAAGACTTTTGTTTCTCGAAAGTCTGCGGTGAGTTGAAGGACCCTCGACAGGATTCCTCTAAGTGACCTGTTTAAAAGTTTACTATTTGGGCTTACACCTAAATACTTTACCTCATAACCCCATCAGCGTGCTGGGCCGCTTGTTGTTTTTAAATGCCAGTGGGTGCTAAAGCACCACAAATGTTATAATTCACTTGGCGTAAATAATGTTTTTTTTTTTTTAAGATACCCAGGGATTAATTACCTAAAGAAGTAAGCCATTAAAAAACAATACCCCAAGGAAAATAAGATTAAGATGCGTACTTTTATTTATTAGTGACTGCTGTAAGTAGACATGCGTCTCCTCTTCATTCAAACACATATCACTAAACTGCTGACGCGCGTAATTTACTGTCATTTTTAAGTGGAAATTTACATGCGCGCAGATTTCATCATCCTACAGATTACTTCGCATGCCAATCAAGCTAAATGCAATCAACAGCTTAATGGCACCTCGAAGCGACGAAATGATTTGAAGCATTTGTTCTTAAATACCCACGTACGTACACACAAAGCTCAACGAGGAGAGGAAAAATGTTAAAATAAAATTGTCATATTGCGAAATGGTATTGGAAATGTAAGAAATTAGAATTGTAACTAAGTTGAAGAGATTATGTTATGTAGCAAGATTTTTCTAAATTGGAACTGCTGAAAAAAAAAAATCGCATATGATTGACTGTGAGCAAATTTACAAAGAAGGATTTGTAACAATGTTAACAAGGGTGTATAAAAACGGTTATGCGTATCACGTGTGCGTTAAAGCTCAGGAGTAAAAAAGAAATCGAAAAGTCTTAAGTGGTTAAAAGAAAACAAATCAACGTGGTACATATGTTGTAAAGCAATGCGGCGACAGCTCGCTATGTAGGCGACGAGCAAATATGTAAGTCGATTTACGTAAGCCTCTTTAATTTGCAGCACGGATTGAAATCGCAGACTGGGTAAGGGTATGAAAAAATAGCGTTTATTTTGAAATTTGAAAATGTTCTTGAAAAATATGTATGAATATGTTTAGCTAAAATTTGAGTTTGCAGCTGAACTATTCAAATTGCCGGCAAGCAGCTAGTGAGGTTTGAATGCATTAAATTCTGGCCAAATTATGCTGTGAGCTCCAATGAAAGTTAAAATCAAGCCTAGTAAAAGACCCCATTCTTTTGATGAAGACCACGGTAAACTTGCAGAGGATTACCTCAATACCTCTCCAAAGTCTGAAAACAAAAACAAATAAAAGTTCTATGTAATATACAAGGCGAATGACTAGTCGTTTCGAACTAAGGACACGCCTGTGTGATGTCAATGAGGACTAGTAGGAGTAGACGAAGCTTTAAAACTGCCAGAACGCTGAACTGAGACTGCTGTGGGATGCCTTCTAATATTGTAATAAAATCATTTGTATAGCAAGATCCTTATATTCCGCGTAAGGAAGCACAACATCGTTCTCAGCTTTCACAATGACCAACGTAGATGACACTTGATTGCAACTAAGATGCCATCTTTTGAATTTCAAAGGCCATATTCACTCACGGCGTATATTATCTATTGGATCAGGCATTCTTAGTTAGAGCTTTCGTGTCGACATTCGCGACAATTTACACATTCGTCGTTCTTCGCTTTATGCATGCTGTCATCAAAGACCAGCCACCCGTATCGCGTAAGAAAAGCTCACATTGTCTTGTAAGACCTACATTACTTTAACTGTGGTTAAATTCTTACTTATACGCTTATGTTTTTGCAATATACCTGGAAATATATATGGGTCCATCCATCCATCCATCTTAAATCGGCCAACAATTGGAATAGAACATTTTTGATTTAGATGAATTTTCGTTGAAACTTTTCTTTAATTATATAACAAAATTCTGCCAAAGCAAAAAAAAAAAAAAATTTTTTTTCGAAAGTTCAAAATTTTCCAGATGTAAGTTAATTTTTTTAAAATTTTTCGAAAACTATTATAGTTACAAAATGGTTCTGGTCCCATTAAAAAAATTACATTTAAAAAATAATTGAAAATTGAAATTGTATTTCTGCCATGAAAAACAGCTTCTCAAAAAAATATAATCGCCATTCGGAGTCGGCACAGAACTGTAGGTCCCTACCTTAACACTAATGGCAATCAAAAGTGAGTGCATGGTGTTTTTTGTTTAATATTTGCAATGCTTTTCAAGTTAATTTTTTTTTTGTTATTTATTTATACAAATATGGTTCACAATTTAATTAAAACCACATAAGTCAAACTTTCAAACTTTATACAGAACTTAGGAAAACTTTTGAGTGTGCAGATAGATCGGGTTTTTCAATTCTAGTGAAACAAGACGCATTTTATTCCACAAAAAATTCATCAGCAATAAAAAATCATTAAAAATAGCGCCAATCTATTATTATTGTTTGATAAGAAATTTAGAATTTTGAGAAATAAAAAGTCGTAAAGGAAAAACGTATGTTTATAAATTTTGGTTTACATATTTTTATACAATGCCTCTAACAAATCAGAATAATCAATAATAATCAATTTTTTTTCATGCAATACCGCTAGCTTATCTTAAAGATTTCTTTTTAAGATTTGAATTTGAACTTTGAACAAAAAAACTATAAATATTTTTTTTTAGTTAAAAAATTCAGCTGATCCTAAAAGGTGTTTTTTATAATCTGAATTTGAACTTCGAAAAAAAAATTACATGTTTTTGTTATTTTATGGCCATATAACAATTATATTCTACAATTTTTAT